AGGGGTCTGTGGCAAACAGGAGCCCCTGGACAGCAGGTACCCCCATTTTACTCACCTCTCTAGCCCCAGTGCCCAGCCCGGCGCCTGGCACATCCTAGGAGTTAACGAAGAGCTTGTTCAATTAGGCTGGACCACTGGGCTGGCTGGGCTAACAAAAGCCCCACTGAGCCTTTGGTAACAGCCCAGACTGTACCCCGACTCCTGTTTCCTGCGCCCTGAGGCCAGCTCCTCTGGTTGAGCACTTCTTCATCCATGGGAACCTCACTGAGTGAGCTGCTGACTATGTTCTCTGGAAAACAGCTCTCAAAGGGGGTTTTTTTCCTTCACTCTCAAGGCAGTTTTTCCCAGAGTGAAGGCTTCCCACTGACTCTGATCCAGGGCCACTCTGGCCTCATCTTGATCAGTTTCAGCAAACACCCGGAGGGAAGAAAACACGTTGTGAACCAAATATTCAGACCCGGATCGATCATCGGAGAGAAGCCCACCCCTCTGCCCACCCCTTATCCCGGTTTGTATTAAATGAGACACAGAGACTCAAAACTTTGAAGATTCTGGAGGCATTTAGCAGCTCTCTGGTCCAGACCCCTTGCTTTATGGAGCAGCTAAGCAAGGCTCAGAGGTTACAGTTCCTGCCCAAGGAACCACATAAGTCACTGGAACCTCACGGGGCGTTCACACTCAGCACTTCTCCCTGGAAGCCCCAGCAATGCTCCTCTCACAGTGCTACCCGCTCTGTTTCATTTCTGGCACAATCACGAAGGAGTGGCCAAATCTGCTGCGTGCTAGCTTCCCGGTCAGTCACGCACAGATAGATATCCCAGAGAGAAGACTCCGGGAGTAACAGAAAATACGTGTGCGCCACGGGTCATCGGGGCATGCTTCTGTGTTTCCGGTCATCAGAGTGAGTATCTGTGTTATGGATGCAAAGCATGACCAGCTCTGTTGCCTGGTCGCTGTACACGGTGAGACAGCGCCCTAGTGGGGAGAAAAGGGGCCAACAACGTCTCTGGTTCATTCAACATCTATCATTCACCAGCCACTCTTGGAGATGTTTTGTCTTGTTACAGAACGAGGCAGGAAAAAAAAGAAAAAAAAACCATGATAACATTTGGCTTTAGAATTCCTCCTAGGGGAGGAAGTGCCTTTCCTTGAGACTCCGCGGGAAAGGTGGTTGCCATGTTACCAAGATGACAGAGGGTGATGCAACTACTTAGGAATAAGTGGGTTCTGCTCCTGGAAAGGGTGGCAAAGCACATAAGGAGAGAGAAGGGGGCGGGAGAGAAGGAAGGAAAGGAGAAAGATGGAGAGGGGCTGGGCCTAGGCAAGGTGAAGGAGATTTGCTCTGATGTAAACCCTCCTCCAACTCTGACACCTTCCTTATATTCTAATGCCCTGGGTGAGTGGGCTTTCTGTGGAAATGAACAAGGAGCTGAGTTTCACATCCTATCCATAGGACACAGAGACCGGAAGACATCAGCCAAGGGCCACAGCTGCGTTACACGTGCCTTATGTTCAAAACTCACAGTATCCCTCTGAAGTAGTTAATATCTCAGGGTGCTTCTCATGCAGAAAGAGGAGGTCCCCCACTAAGCAAGTGGCAGAGCCAGGATTCCAACCCAGCTGGGTCTGACCACAGAGCACGTGCTCCTAACATGGGTGCTCCCGGCAGACAGAGAACCTCGGCCAGGTGGGCTAGTGAGGAGGAGAAGGAAGCCAAGCAGGCCAGAACGAAGACCCCGACCCAGCCCTGGGAAGGAACCTGCAGGGGAATCCCAGAGCCTAAAGGGATCTGGTCCAGGTGAGTATCGTGTCCAGCCCCTGAATCAAAAGCCCAAGTGGCTGACATGACAAGAGAGCCAGGTGGGTACCAGGGGAGCTCAGTGGGCCTCTCTCCTTGTCTCCCTCCTCCTTTCTCTCTCCTCCGGTCTTTTGTACCCTTTCCAGGAGCAGAATGAACATATTCCTATGCGGTCTCACCATTGTCACAGCATCTCTCCCTCAGGAGCATCCCAGCCAAGGCTTCTGTGGGCTGCAGACACAAGGAAAAGGCCAAGGGAGCTTGGCAAGGTCCTGTGAGACAGTCTCCCTCCCAGCATCTCTGGCTCCAGAGACCCTCCTTGAGCAGCTAGGCTAACTGCAGCGCCACCTGCTGGCACACCTCGGGATCTATGGGCTGGGAGAAGCTGGGAAAGCCAGTGGCTGAGGAACAGCATAGGACGTCCCGAGGCAGGGAGGGTGCAAACACAAACTCCTCTCTAGAAAACGAAAAGTACTGTGGAGAGAAGCCTCGAGACAGTGGAGCGATGACAGGCAAGCACCAGGGTATGCCATCACAAAAGTTCTGAGTTCTTTGCTCAGCTCATAAATGTGAGTAATTGTGCAAGGCCACCAGTTCCATGGCACAGTGAGAAAAAAAAAAGGCTAAGGACGGATGAGTTGTTAAGTAAATGCAGGAACACTTTAAGGCTCAATCCTGGTGTCTCTCCTCTCTCCCTGGGCTGGCTCATCCACCCCACAGCTTCAAGATCCACTAAAGCCACACACACACAAATGCACACATTTACATCTCCAGCCCAGATCTCTCTCCCAGCTCCAGAGCCCTAGATCAGCGGCCTGGTGTCCTCCTGACTTGGACATCTGCATTGGCAGGAGTTCTTATAGTAAACCCAGTGCAAAATAACTTGAGCCAAAAAGGATGGAGTTTCGCTAGTCTGTAAAACCAGATTGTAAGGAGAGCAGAGGTGGAGCTGGACTATTTGTTGAATGAATGAAAGGGTAGAAAAACATGAAGACATTTGTTAGGGGAAAGAGATAGGAACTAAGTCTTGGTGGGTACCTACTAGCTGCTGGGCACTTATTTAATCCAATGAGGAGGTTAAAAGCGGGGGCTGGGGAATGGGGGCTTTGTCACTTACTAAGTCACACAACTAGCCCATGAAAGAGTGAGGTTCAAGGTTCTGTCGGACTTGTACCACTGTCTCTAGTTCTCAAATTAAAATTACAGATGTAGGGTCTAGGGTTGGATATAAGGGCTTAAGAGGTTTTAGAATCTCCAACTACACATGCAGTACTTGAACCTCTCTCTTCCCATCCCAGCCAGGTAGTTGTATGGTCTCTGCTTGAACACCCCTCATGACGGGGACCTCACCCTCAAGATAGGGATTTTGTCATTGAATCATAGTAGCAGGTCAGAAAGTTGAGACAGAATTTATCCTTCTTTAGGATTAAATAAGAGAATGCGTGTGCTGTGCCCACCACAGTGCCTGCAACATCAATAAATGTGATCATGCACCCCACTTCCCTTAGGACAACTGTTCTTGTGTCTATCTTTCCCTTGGGATGCCAGGAAACAAATCTAATTCTTCTTCCCTGAGACAGCCCTTCAGATATTTGAAGACAGTGCTTCAGGGTCCCCCTGAGGCTTCGCTTACCCAGGATAAACAAATACTCCAACACGCTTTCAGACACTCGTTGGTAAGCAAGAGTTGATGCTGTACACACTGCGATTTTCCAGCTGCTGTGGTGTGTGAGGCTTCAGAAAATCTGACGGAACGAATGATAAACCAGCCACAGCAGGGTAGCCATGGTATCTGGATCATGACCTCTGTATAAGAAAAGGGAAGTGATTGACCCTGAACAAACAGTAGCACATCCCCAGAGTTTCACCAGCAGCATTCTTGGTCCACCCACTGTGGGAAATTGTTTTAGAAGAAGAAAAAGAAACGAGAGTCTCCCAAGATGATTTTACATCATTTTAGACCCCCTGTCTTGCCAAAAGTCGCTATGAATTCTTCCCAAATCCAGTTTGTGTGCTTATCGATCCAATATCGAGCAATGTAGGGAACTGAATCCATTCTAATCATAGACTATCAAACCTACCCCCAGGTACTCCCTCTTTACGGATGGGGAAACTAAGGTCCAGAGGAGAGTGGCGACTTATCCAAATTCATAGAGGAAATCTGTGCAAAAGCCTGGTCAGCTCATGAACTCCAAAGAAAGACGAGAGAGTAATGCAAGCCTTCATGGGAAAGGAAGAAGAAAGGAGCTGTTAGAAAAAAACACAAAAGAGAAAAGCTCTGAAAGGTCCTCTCTGGAGTGTTTCTCCCTCCTTTCATCCATTTCCTATAGAGACAATGTAGTATACAAGGGCAAGATTGGAGTCAGAAATTCCTAGGTCCATATGCTGACTCTGCCACTGGCTCTGTGTGTGATCTTGAACAGACTACTAACCTTTCAGATACTCAGTTTCGTCATGAATAAAATGAGAATAGGAACAACTCCCTCAAAGGAATGAGTCTTAAATAAAATAGAGAGAGAGACTTTTGGTTCTCAGTAATGGTGGAGCAGCTTATGTCAGACTAACCCTTCTGGAAATAACAATTATAAACTCTGGACAAAATATTTCAAAAGTACTATTTGATGGCATTGGAGAGAGACTAAACACAGGCAGAAACTGGAGGGTATACAGCCCTTGAAGGAAGGGAGTCACACTGGATGAAATACACATTTATTTACCCGATTTCTCCTTTGAGGGCACGTCAAGTTCTAAGGGAATACTGTAGATAGAGCTCAAGAAGAAAGCAGCAGTCGTTGAGTTAAAAAGTCTCAAGCTAGAGTTCAGCGTTGCCAGAAAAGCTAGAAAAAATGGGAAGAAAAATCCTAGAAAGGAGGGGCCCCCAGAGGCAGAGCCCCCAAATTTTTTTCTCACTTCTCTGCTGCTGAGAGATGGGAGATGACAAATTGTGGAAGTGGGAAGATGTGACCCGTGTAAGAGACTTTGAGAAGATCAGCATTTATAAGAAGGTTATAAAAAAAATAAGATAGGAAAACTGGTATTGGAGCCAAAAGTAGAAGGCTTGGGAGGTCAATGGAATTGAGGTTGTCATGTAGTAGATGCTCAATAGTGATCTGTTAACTGCATAAGTGAATGAATGAGCCACTGGGCCTGTCGAGGCTGAAGCTCTGGGGCTGACTGCTGCCCCCTCCTTCCTGTCTTGCAGCTCACATACCTGCCCCCGCCGTGGGGCGAGTGCCGGTCCTCGGAGATGGGACTCGACTTCTTTCCTGTTTACAGCATCACTGCCTGTCGGATTGACTGTGAGACCCGCTACATCGTGGAGAACTGCAACTGTCGCATGGTCCACATGCCAGGTCAGTGCCAGGCAAGGACAGCCGCAGGGGCCCAGGACCACCTGCGACCTTCTTTGCATTTCTCACCCTGATGGGAAACTCTTCACGCACTCCACGAGGATGCAAAGGGATGCTGTTCTGGGAAGACTGTTATTTGATGCCCAAACTCTTAGAGGGCGGATGGAAACCTCCAGTCTGGCAACCAAGGCAGCATCCTGGTGTCCAGAAGTGGTCAGGTGTTTGGAGGACGTTCCTCCCAACGTTCAGTATGTTTGCTAATTGTTTGCTGGTCTTCCCTCCTAGAGTTCAGTGCCCAGATATCTGGATGCTTACAATTCTTACATCCTGGTGTGGTACACGTTCAAACGTCCAGATGGTTATTGCTTTCCTCCAGATGTTTCCCTTCTTGCATCCAAATGTCTAGCTCTCTTTCAAGCTAGGCAAGAGTCCATCAGCCAGCAGAATTCATGTGTACTGACATTTCTATTCTCAGACTAACAATGCACGTAGCCATCATTAGAGGCAGTTGGCTTGTCAGTAGAAGTGGAGTGGGGGGGAGGGGGGCTGATTGGAGCAGGAAGAGTTTGGTACTGCAACATGGAAGGAAGGATGACTGAGGCTGGAGTCAGTGGCCTTGGCTTCTAACTCAGGTTCCTCCACCTTACTGCTGTGTGACCTGGTACAAGTTACTAAACCTCTCTATTGTTACCTCCATTATCTTTAAAACACAATCATTCGTGGATAGGAAGATAAAATTAGGCTAAGATATAAAAATGCTTTCTTGGGAATTCCCTGGTGGTCCAGTGGTTAGAGCTCCGTGCTTCCACTGCAGCGGGTTCGGGTTCGATCCCTGGTCAGGGAACTAAGATCCCGCAAGCTCCGCAGTGCGGCCAAAAAGAAAGCTTTGTCAATTGCAAATGTCAGTGGTGATTGTGTTAACACATGGGGAGAGGGAATCGAGAGTACTGTTGACTGAAGACCTACTATGTGCTGGGAACTTTGCTGTTATATTTCATGGCTACAATTTCATGGTTATATCATACTTTGTTTATTTAGCTAAACCCTGATGTCAGACATTTCATTCATTACCAATTGTTTTCTGTTATAACCAATGCTGAAATGAACATCCTTAGAGCTAAATTCTAACTTAGTGCATTATGATCAGTAATTGCTCTAGCAATCTAAATTTAGAATTATCGACCTTTAAAATTGCCTCTGAGCTTCCTAGAAGACAGAGCAAAAAGGGAAACATATCAGTTAAATTTTTATTATTAGAAAGGAGGAAGCATATCAGTTCTTCAGCTCTTGAAAAGAATTGGTGTTTAGGGAGAAGATAAGGAAAAGATATCGTGGTGGGCTTTAACTTTAGCACTTGGTAAAAGAAAAAAAAAAAAAGCATCTGGATTTCTACAGAGACCGGAGAGAACTGAGCACTGGTAAATGCTACCTGCCTGATGCTCAGACTGGATCACCAGCCAGTGAGGTTTCCCCATGGAACCTGAGCCCAAAGCAAGCAGGAGAGATTTCAATCATTTCCGCCCCCCCACCCATGACACTGTTACTGGTATCTCAATTATAATGTGGAATTAAGGGCACAGCAAAGAGGAGACTAACAAAGCAGCCCTCACTCCCTTACAGCAGTGTGGTGTACTGGAAAGAGCCCTAGCCTCGGGATCAGACAGACCTGCGTTCAAAGCCCACCTCCATCACCGCTAGCTCTGATGTCCTGAGAAAACAGGATTCTTAAGCCTCAGTTCTCTCATGGGTGAAACAGATACAGTATTTCCTATTTCCGAAGGTACCCGTGTGGGTTAAAGGGGACAGTGCATGCCCAGGACTTAGTAGCTGCTTACCACTGCTTCCCCACGTTAACTGTCAACGCTTTCCTATCACATATGTAAGCCAGATTGTGCAATCTGGGAGAAGTTAGCTAGACCGGTCTTGTTATCACAGAGATCAGAACCCAGTCTTCTGCTCCCCCACTACCCCCAGGGCTTCTGACCATCCACTGGTGAACTGCTGCCCCTCCTAGGTAACAAGGTAGCTGGATGCAATCCCTTCCTCCAGCCCAAGGAGGGGAGGGGTTGCTGCCTGAGTACCTCTCCCTGTCTTTCTTCTTTGCAGGGGATGCCCCTTTCTGTACCCCTGAGCAACACAAGGAGTGTGCCGAGCCTGCCCTAGGTCAGTACCAGGGGCCAGGTGGAATGATGGGGGAGGGGCTGCGATCAAGACCTTGCAGAACTTCCGGGTGCAGAAGAGAGATGGGGGGAAGGGGAGCGGGGAAGGGTGAGGGGAAAGAGGCTGGAAAGGGTGGCGTCCCTGCAGGGACTGGAGAGGGAGATGGAGAGGAGGAAGGAGAGAGGGGTGGGGGAGGGAATTGATGCAAGTGGATGAGGGCTGGAAACCAGGCTAGGGAAAGAAAGGAGATAGAGAGGTGGGGGTAGGGAAGGAGTGGGTTTTGGGGGAGCAGAGAGCACTGTGGAATGCAGGGGAGCGGGCAGAGACGAAGAGAGGATCGACAGTGAGCATCCGGGTGGGCCCCAAAGGAGATCAGCCGTATCTCCCCGCACACACTCTCGCGGTTATTCCAAAACTGTCCCGTCTGCATGCTCCGTTGAGCCAGGCGCGTTCCCCCTACTCCTCTGCCTTCTGCTGGGTGTTTGCTGGTCCACACCCCCCCGACCCTGGAAAACTTCCAGTGAGGGAGATCACACAAACAAGCTGCAACCCCCAAGCTAGACCCACTCCACGTGCCCACCTCTTCCGGACCCGGGAAATGATCTATAACCAAGACAAGCAGAGAGTATTTAAATCATCCGGACTCAAGCTCGTCCAGCAGCTGCACTTGCTGGATCTAAGTGCAGCAGCTCTGGGCTCACACGTCCAGACGCCTCCAGGAGGGCTGGCGGGAAGGAGAAGGAGTGACTTCCAATGGATGCAAAGACTCAGTTCTGCGTCCTAAACCAGCGAGCAGAACAGGTGGGCGTTGGCTATGAGGGAGCCCCAGAGGGAGTACCGCGGAGCCCAGAGTTTCAGATAAAATGGTCTCCCACACTCGCCTTTGGAGAACAGCCCCCTTTGTAGATGAGAACTGAGGCTAGGAGCAGAGAAGAAGGCCCTGGGGAGGTGAGGGGTCCGGGACTCCCTTGGAGCCCATTCTCCAAAAGCGGTGCCTTTTCAAAGATTTACAAAGCGTGACATAACAGTGAAGGAAACAGAAGAAAAACAGGACCAAGAGTAACAGAGAAAGAGTGGGCACATTCTATGAGAGCTCACACCCTCATCAACCGGTAGCAAAAGCCCGGCCCTCCTTCTCTCCACAGCCCCCCCCCCTCATTTACCCGAATGGCACCTCCTCCCAGCTCACTTCTCTGCTGCGGGATCCTGGCTACTCTGGGCCAGGAGGTCCACCTGACTAAGCCCTGCCTCCCTCTCCCCTCCAGGTCTGCTGGCGGAAAAGGACAGTAATTACTGTCTCTGCAGGACACCCTGCAACCTGACCCGCTACAACAAAGAGCTCTCCATGGTGAAGATCCCCAGCAAGACATCAGCCAAGTACCTCGAGAAGAAATTTAACAAATCAGAAAAATATATCTCGTACGTTAAGTGGACATGGTGGATGGAGGTGGGGGAGGATGGACTAGGAAAAAATGGGGGGCAGTCGAGGGCAAGGTAAGCAATTAATTCTATTTGGCAGACATTAATTGAGCACCTGCTGTTTGCCACGTTCTGTGCTCAGACTCAGAATATGAAGACAAAGCGGATTAAGATGCAGCCCCAGCCTTTAAAGAGCTTAGAGTCTGGTGGAGAGACAAGTACAAAGCTGAAAGCTATATAGGCTGATGCAGGTAATAAGAGAAGTGGCTGGCCGCACCTTGCGTAGGGACACTGTCAAGGAAAGCTTCAGAGATGTTTTTCTTTTTGCATTTTTTGGTTAGTTATCCATTTTATACATATTAGTGTATATATGTCAATGCAGAGATGTTTTTACAGGATGTAGAGGAGTTTTCCAGGCAGGTTTTGCACATTCTGTTCCCTCTGCCTGGAATGCTTTTCCTCTCACTCTTCACCTAGCTGGTTCCTCATTGTGCAGGTCTCCATTTAAACGTCATCTCTTTGGATGACTAAATTAGTCCCCTCCTGTCATTTTTCTCTGGAAGCACTCTGGTGTTTTCCTTTATAACACACACCACCGTGTGTAATTCTATATTCACGTGTGTGTTTCCTGAAATTAACTTGTCCACTTCACGAAAGTGAAGCTCCTTGAGGGCAGGAAGCTTTCTTGTTTTGTTCTCTGCTGTGGAGTGTCTGACACAGAGTTGATGCTCAAAAAAACATATATATCTTTTAACAGAATAAGTGAAAGAAAGACACAGGAGCAGATGGTGTCCCAGGCAGAGGCTCAGCAGGGAAAATCAGTGAAGGGCAGACAAGATTAGGGGAAGGGGAGGCTGGGGGAGGTGACTGTGTCCAAGGTAGAAGATCCTGCAGGCTGAGCTGGGCGGGGGTGGTCCGCAGAGAGTGGACTTATTCTAAGAGGACAGGCAGCCACAGAAGAACTTCCACCAGACGAGTGACAGGCTCACATTTGCCGTTTAGGTAGAAACTTCTGGAAATGTTCTTTATCTGTGATGTCCTACATGATGGCCACTGGCCACATGTGGCTACTGAGCATTTTAAATGTAGCCTGAGTGATGGAGGAACTGGATGCTAATTTTATGTCACATGGATTAGTTTAGCGGTTTTAGGAAGACCCTTCAGGCGGCAGATAGAGGTCGGACCGGAAGCCAGGTGGGCGAAAGGGAGCCAGGTGGGAAGCAGTTGCCATAAACCAGGCAAGAGAGGGTGACCCTGTGAATGGCACCTGAGCGAGCCCCGCGTGGAGAGGACTCCTCTCCCCCAGCCTCTCCCTCCTGCCCCCACCGTCACCAGACCTCATCCTGGGACGGCTTTTGCTCCGTCCCAGGGTTGAGGACAAGGGACGCTGAGGGCATTGTGAGCCACGTCGTGGAAGGAGGCAGGGAATTTTGTAGGAGGTACCAGGCACCGCTGTCGCAGACATTGTGCCAGCCGTAATGACTTCTCCTGCCTAGATGTGTCTCATGCACACATCTGCCCAAAAGAGCAAAAGGGAACCGGGGTGCTTCCATCAGAAACCCTGCAACCAGGTGTGGATTTTCTCCCTAAAAACCCTCCCTGGTCCCTGCAGCTGACTTGGCCATCCGGGGTAGGGCCCCCACTAGGAGAAGCTTGCTGTCAATCCCAGTAAGAACTGGGGGCCTCTCCAGAGTGGGCAGGGGAGGTCAGCGGGGGGCAGGCGAGCAAGCCTTGTCAAGAGAGTGCTCAGCTCACCTGCACGTAAGGGCCCAGGCAGACCCTCTGGGAGCAGAGACCTGGGGTCCAGGCAGGATTCCTGGAAAGGGTGCAGAGAGACGGGGGCGTTAGCAATGAGGGGCCAAGGGGACAGCTGATATACGCCTCCAGGGCCGTGAAGGGCACTGAGCCGGGAGTCAGGACGTCAGGTTCAAGCCCCAGCTGTGCCACTAACCAGCTCTAACTTCGGGCCAGTTGTTTCACTTGCCTGGGCCTCAGTTTCCCCATCTGTCTGTGGGAAAATTGTATTAGATGATCCCCGTGGATCCTGAGGGCTCTCACCACGTATGACACTGGACATTTCCTCCGCAGAGAGAACATCCTCGTTCTGGATATATTTTTTGAGGCTCTCAATTATGAGACCATTGAACAGAAGAAGGCGTACGAAGTTGCTGCCTTACTTGGTAAGTCAGAGTGTCTGTTGCACAAATGTCCACGTCTCATGGGGATGGGCCGGTGGGCGGGTTACTCCCTCTTCCCTTTGCACTGTTCCTGCCCCAGAATGGGAAGAACTCCACGTGCTGGAGGTGTTAGGCCCAGTTCATGTCCCAGTCTAGGCCTCAGTTCCCCCATCAACACATTGAAGTAGGTGAGCTAGACGCTCTCTCGGGGCCTTTCCAGCGCCATCCTCTTGGAATTCTATGGTCTTCTGCCCCCAGGTTGGAGTCAGAGCCCTGGGGCCATGGCAGGAAGAAAGAGCTGTCAAGTGGAGGGAGGGCTGAGCTGTGGGTGGTCCCAGGCAGTGGGCCCAGGGAGGGTCCCCCATGGAGCCCCCACTGGAAAGCAATTTTGCTGCATTGAGAAGGCCCGGTGCCCCCTGGACCGAGAGCCCTTTGTCAAACACAACAGAAGGGCCATGCCCCCCCAGAAATCTACAAACCTGACTGCCACCCCACCCTGGGGCCAGCTCCCCTGGCCCCAAGGGCACATGATGGATGCAGGAAGTTAATTTCAACACAGTCCCAGCCCAGCGTAAAACTCACAAGACCCCTGCGGGTGCACAGTTAAAAAGACCTGCTCTGGGGCTTCCCTGGTGGCGCAGTGGTTGAGAGTCCGCCTGCCGATGCAGGGGACACGGGTTTGTACCCCGGTCTGGGAAGATCCCACATGCTGCGGAGCGGCTGGGCCCGTGAGCCATGGCCGCTGAGCCTGCGCGTCCGGAGCCTGTGCTCCGCAACGGGAGAGGCCACAACAGTGAGAGGCCCGTGTACCGCAAAAAAAAAAAAAAAAGACCTGCTCTGGACTCGTCCCCCAACTCCCACTCACTCTCAAGAAAGGAGCTGGTGTCTGTGGCTTTGAGGAAAATAGCTCTTGTCTCTGTGAACTGAATCAGGTGAGAATAGCATCCTGGGTGAGAGCGGGGAGGCATACACCTTCTACCTGGAAGTACAAGGGACAGCAAGCCACGGGCCGCTGCACACCAACTGGGAGAAAGTGGGCAGGTGGCTTCACTGAACCTCAGGTTTCTCATCTGTAAAATGGGTCTAATAAAACTCATTTTGTGAGTTTGCCGTGATGGTTAAATGTGGAAAAGCCCCAGCCCACAGGAGGTCCATAAATAGAGATTTCTGGCATGTGGACAGACACCATGCCAGGGACCCAGGGCCTACCCTGCAGCACTGTCTGAGCGTGTCTGTTCCTCTCCCAGGAGGCTGGGGAACTGGGCCACAGTGGGGTGCCCGCTGGGCTAAGGTGGTCATCACCTGGGCCTTGGAGATTGTTGTGGCCAAAGGGCCTGTGGCCAAAGGGCCTCATGCCCTGAGCTGGTGGTAGAGCCCTGCTCCTGCCACCTTTATTTCCTAAAGAAGACCGAGGACATGCCTCCTCCACTTCCGTCCCCTCCCCTACATAGGCTCACAGTCACACTCAGACACACACATACACACACACACACACACACACACACACACACACAGTGATGAGGGCCTGAGCCCCGAATCTGTCAGGAGAGGTAGCTGGTCCCTGCAGCAGATATGAGAGAGCGTTTTCGCAGCATCTTGTTCCCACCCAGAATAGCCCGCCGTGAAAGTCCTGCTGCCATCTGTACCTCCCGTGAGGACAGCAAGTGCTACTTGCAAACCATGAGCCACGGCACCCAATCGGGCCCGTCCCTCCCCTCCCCCCGCCGCGCACAGCGCACCCCTCCCGCAGTGAACACACCCTCACAGACCCACATGCAAGCCACGCGGCTGCAGAGACACGTACGTGCACACAAGTTGCGTGCTTACACGCGCACGTGCTCACACCTGCACATGCTCACTCAGACACACCGTGCCCACTCCCACAAAGCCACATTTGGACGCACTCGTGTAGCTACCCTAGACGTTGCTTGCCGCCTATGTAAAGCTGTCGGTGGTCAGACGTATCGCCTGCATCTATCCCACACGCATTCGCGCACGGCGCACCCAGGCCCATACCCCACGCTCCACCACACCGCTCACACACACACAGACACACCCCACTCCTGGCGTGCACATGCATCGTGCACACTCCCCGATAAGCCTCTACTGAGGATATTAGAGGGGGCGGAGGGGCAGGAGAGGAGTGAAGGGGAGCCACGTTGAGCCCCAAACCGGGTCCCCCCAGGAAGGGCCGCCTTCCTGTCGTCACGACTTGCTCGCCTAGGGATGTGTTGGTTGGGTTTCTCCAGCCATAATCAGGGGAGGAGTGGGCAGAGGTACTCATCCAAAAGTTCTCAGACCAAGAGGTCAGCCTGGACCCTCCAGGAGGACGGTACATTCACCCCCAGCAACACCCGCTCTCCCCAGCCCAGCCCAGCAGCTGCCAGTCTTAGAGGTCACAGCTGGAAAGGACTTCACAGTTCATCTCCTCCGACCACCACCCCCACCCCGACCACCTCCACCACCAAATGTGCCCGGAAGGCAAAGCTCCTGAGAAGGTCAGGGCTTATCAAAGCCGCACAGCGAGCTGGTGGCCCCCTTCCAAACTCACAACCTCAGAGCCCCCTGCTCTACCACACTGCCTCCAGAACGAAGCGCTTGGGGCTTTGGGGGGGATCAGAACCCCCTTGAGAATCTGATAATAACTTCTGAAATACGGACTCTCCCTCTGCAAATGCCCAGGTGCACACACAATGGATCGCATTCAATTCAGGGGGTCTCCAACCACTGGAAGCTCCCACAGGAGAGCCGTTCTCAAACTTTGGTGGGCCAGAGAACCACCCGGGCACTTTAAAATCCTGACCTCCAGACCCCAAGCCCTGAGATTCTGATTGTGTAGGCCTCAGGTAGGTGCAGGCATCTACACTGATTACAAGTATCCCAAGAGTCTGATGCAGGGGTATCCGAAGACCAGTCTAGAAAGACTTTGGTCGGTAGGGCCCAACATCCAGGGCAAGGACCTCTACTCTAGAAAGAGACCAAACTGAACATGTACCTTTAGGTTGGGAGACAGGGAGATGCTTCCTACGGCCTTATCCCAAGGGTGAGAGGGGCCCCAAGGCGGCCCCAAAGCCCATGTCATGACTGGGGGGTGTCTCTTGTGTTACTGCTCCCGAGACCCCCACTCAGGGCACCTGACACACGTCTCAAGCTAGACTGTGTCCTCGCCCAGGCCAGGGACCACACACACCTCGTCTGTTCCCAGCCCAGAGCCAAACCTGAGCCCCACCAGTGTGGTTCTGAACGGAAATGAACAAGCCTGTCAGCCCATGAGGTCTATTCCAGGCCCCCCCGAAAGCATCCAGGTTAGTTCCTGTCCCCATGAGTGCTGAAAACCAAACCCACCAGCTCTCAGAGCTGTGCAGTGAGGGAGGGACGCGTCAAGGGCCTGGCCTCCCAGCTACCAGGCCCCGGCCCCCCGGGAAGGGGAACCCGTTCAGAAGGCCTGGTTTCCGAGTTCTCAGTCTGTTCAGCCCTTCCGGAAGTGCTGTCAGGAAAGCCAAGTCTTTGTCTTCTCTCTCTCTCTCTCCAGGTGATATTGGTGGTCAGATGGGATTGTTTATTGGTGCTAGTATCCTTACAATACTAGAGCTCTTTGATTATATTTATGAGGTAAGATTTGGGATCGCTCGTGGGGGGATGACCTGGCGCCCTCATCCTGCCCTGACGTCCAGAACCAAATCGTGGATGGGGGGAGAGCACGGCCTCTCTTCCCCCAGGGCCGCCTCCCCCTCCCTGTCCATGGATATTGTCTATCACCACCTCCTAGGCACTGGGGGAGGGATGGATGTAAGAGAGACAGAAGCCACAGGCCTCTCCTCAGGGCTGTCTACACTCACAGGGAGGGAGCAGAAGGGATGAGAAGAGGATGAAACTGTGCTGAGGCCAGCCTGAGCCCCTCCCGCTGCTAGGGGGCTTCAGACATGGGTGTGTCTGCACCCTCACACTCACCACATACCACACTCACACACCACATATGCACACACATACACCACACGCACTCCACATACGCCACTCACACACGTGCCACACACACACATCACGCACAGTTATACCACACTCACATACGACATATGCACACACATATATCACACACACTTATACCACACTCACACGTAACAGGCACACACACTCCACACACATATATCACACACAGTTACACCGTGCTCACACACACTGCTCACAAATACACACATACGCCACACGCACACCTCATGCACACACACACACCCCTGCCCTCCTGGCGGCCCATCACCCGAGCAGCGCCTGCCGTGGGCCAGGCAGGTTTCAGGAAGGATCACTCCTGCATCGCTCATCAGCCCTGAGCAGGGAGAGCAAGGGCACCCCTGCGCTCCTGGCCACCAACAGTCCGGGAGCTGGCACCCTCAGGAGGCAGCTGGACAAAGCCTCTGAAAGCTTCTCACACGACAAACAATGGCTTCAGTCACTGAGCGCTCCGGGTGCACATCAGCCTTCCTACTGCCTCCCTCCCCCCAGCCCCGGGATGGCTCAGGGACTCCAGAATCCCTCAGGGAAGTCCAGACCCAACACCGTCCCCAGGACCGCCTGAGTCTCAGCCTAGCAAACGGGGCCTGCAGAGCAGTGGCCTGCATCCCAGAGCGGGCTGGCGACGGCCAAAGGCCGCTGGGAGTCACTGCGGGGAGCCGGCGGGCAGCGGCGACCAGGGGCCTCTAGAGTGCCACATCCTGCCTCTCAGCATGGTGACCTTGTTCCCAAACTGGGTCCCATGGCCAGATTTCATTCTACCTTGTTTACTCATTTTTGTAAAAAGATATACAAAATCACAGAAATTGAATCGCACCAGGGAACATATTTAGTAATTACCCTTTCTTGCTAGGAATCAAATGTTAAGAACTCAAGTGTATCCCGATCTTGTGAACTGTGGGGTTGTCAGGCCTCGGAAGTGATGAGTAATTCTGTCCCCCCAGGACAGACAAGGAACCAGCCATACTGGGAGACCAGGCCCTCCCGTGACCCCCTCCAAGCTCTAGCACCTGCTCCAAAATCCCATCTCAGCCCAGAGATTGGGGAGGGGCCCCAGCCCAGCCACGTGGAGGGAGGTCTCTCTCTCTTTCTCTACCTTGGCGCCGTTCTTCTGGCCTGACCATCCCCTTCCTGCCTTTCTTGCAGCTGATCAAAGACAAGCTATTAGACCTGCTTGGCAAAGAAGAGGAGGAAAGGAGCCACGATGAGAATGTGGTGAGGGCAGCCCGGGGTTTGCAGGTTGCTTAGTTCCTCTGGCACATACAGGCCATGTTAACCCAGATGCGGGGGCCGGGTGGGGCCAGAGGGCGGGCCGTGCTTCGCGGCACACCTTTCCATGGCTTGTGACGCTCTGCAGCTCCCAAATCCAAGGACACTCCAACTGAGCCTTGAGCCTCTCTCTGAGACTCACCCCAGAGCCCAGTAGTAAGCCGTGGATGCAGTGGAGACCAGGAGATGCTTCTGCCTGGACCAATCCAGCTTCTCCCAGGCCAGAGGCCACGCCCCTCTTCTCAGGCCTTGGGAGAGCCGGAGAGGCTCTGCGTAGGTCCACTCCCTTATTCTGCGGGGTGGCAGAATACAAGCAGGGATGTCCCTGGCCTTCTGCCCCATTTTGAAGGGGACGTAGGGTGTGCGGCCCTGTGAATTTGGTAGTGGCAATAATACCCATTAGAACTGCTAACCATTGTACATGCCCGGTACATGTCAGGCACTGTGCTGAGTGCCTTAAGAGCGCCACATTTCAACCCGACAGTCACCCTAGAGGAAGGTCTGTTTTTATCTCCGTTCTGTGCATGAGGCCGTTGCAGCTCAGACCAAGGTTACACTGCAGGTGAGTGTCAGAGCTGGGCACAAAGCCTCCCTAACCACCACTGTCCTCCTCCATTCCTCGAGCCAGAGAGGGGCAGCACCTCTTATGCTGCTAATTTTTCTTCCCTAACTCAGTCTGCTCCTGGACCCCGGTCTCCACTGAAGGTTGCTGGCTTTCCCCAAGTCAGCACCCCGGCCCCAAGAGACCACCCCATTCAATGGGCACTTGCCCCCTTAAAATCATAACATGCCAAATGGACCCCAGCCCCCTCCTCCTGTTTGGGCTCCCACTTCTGTTCCAGACACTATTTCTCTACCCATCTCCCAGGCTAAAAATCTCACTCTGATTCTTTCGGGTTTGAACAGAAGACAGCTTCTGTTGAGGAGAGAGCAGTGTGGAAGGAGGCCAGGCTCTGGATCCCAGGTCCCCGCTTCCCAGCCGTGTGTGCCTGGGGCTCGTTACTTCCCTTTCTGATCATCTCTAAATCACTGGGGCTTCAGGGAGTGCCATTCAGGTTAAGTGAGGCCAGGCCTGTAAAGCCATGAGCTTTGCCTAGTTTATAATGAGCGCCGAGCAAGTAGAGGCTCCCTCCCCCTCCCCGAGCCACATTCTTGGCACAGAATTCTGCTCCCATGCCTCCCAGCCTCCAGCCCTCCGCACCCTGGGAATCACCTGGAAAACTCAAAGCTATCTCAGCCCCACCCTGCTCAGGGACCCAAGACCGCTCTTCCCTGGGACCAGCCTAACCTAAAGGTCCTTCAGGCAGCTGTGATCAGGGGTCAGGGTTCTGGCTGGGGGCCTCCACTGCTTGGCCTCAGCGATTGGCACCCCCTGCCCTAGCCTTGGCCACAGACCACCCCTCCTCCAGCCCAGGCTGACCCAACAGAGACCCCAAGGGCGAGGGTAGGATGGGCCATCCAAGCTCCAAAGCTACACACCACTCAGATGTAGCTTCAGGTGACACATCAGGGGACCGCTAGAGAGAAGGTCAAACCAGTCACTAAGCCCCATCCCCTCTCTCCGGGTGTGGGGGTGGGGGGGGTGTGCCTAGGTGGAGAATGGAGAGGATTCTAAAGGCAATGAGGCCCCTTCAGCCTCATGCTCCAAGATGGCAAGCCAGCGCGTGAGATGTCTGGGGCAGAGCAGCTGTGCCCCGGGAGAGCCCACAGTGGGCAGTGTGGTTCCCGGGGCCTGGGTTGGGCTGCCCGGGGGCATCGTGATGAACTTTTGCTGAATGAGCATCAACGCCCACTTTCCGCTTCCCACCAGAGCACTTGCGACCCGATGCCAAACCACTCCGAAAACATCAGCCACAGTGTGAACGTGCCCCTGCAGACAGCCCTGGGGACCTTGGAGGAGATTGCTTGCTGACAGCCCTCCGACTGCCCGGCACCCCCCAGACAGACCTGGAGGCCCAGGACCAGAACAGGGGACGGCAGGCTCAGGTGGGATGACCCCTGCCGACCGACGGAAAGAAGCAAGAGCCCCCTATGCACACATAGCAAACTCTCTGTCAAAACCTCGCTCCAGCCTCGTCTGGCACGACGCGTCCTCAGGCCCTGCTACCGCACATCCGTCCCTCTTAGGAGAAGTGAGTCACGCTCTGGAACTGTCCGAGAACCGACCCGCCATCACATCTCACTGCCAGATGTAAAAAGCAACTGCATGCTCTGAGTCCTCACGGCACCGCCTCCACGTCTGTCTCCGTACTTGACCCTCCTCCGTGCGGTTTCCAGCAGTCCCTCTGCAGCTGTGCAGGGGGACCACCCTGAAGTCACGACGAGGCCACGCTGGAATCACACCTGCACGATCAAGAGGGAAGCCGCAGAACTCGACGACGTCCGGTCCTTTTGTAGTTTGTGAAGGTTCTTAACCTGCCCACAGAGCCCTTCCCCACCTCCCCAAGCCGGCCCACAGGGTGATCAGGGCCACCCCCTCCCCTCCACAGCGGCCCCGGGGACTCATCCGCGGTGCCCACGTCATTCTGCTCTCCCTGTGACACGGCTTGTACAGTCTGATTCTGTTTCTTTGGGGGTCTTTTTTTTTGTTTGTCTGTCTGTCGGAGATCTGTTTCATTTCGTTTTCTGAATTTGGGTTTTGATGTTCTGAGGTTTGGTTTGGTTTTTCCATTTTCTCTTGGCATTTATTTATTTGTGCTTCCAATCACAGTCATATTAAAAGCTGGTCTTGTGGAAATGGCTGAGTCGTCTCTGCCCTTCCCCCGCACTCTTTCTCCCCAAGACTTTAGGAAAGAGCCAGATCTGCCAGGTCAAAAACCACAGGACGAATAGGTAGATAGATGGATAGATAGATAGATAGGTGATAGATAGATAGATAGGTGATAGATAGATAGATAGATAATTAGATGACATAGTTTATGCATTACTTACCTTTACAAAACACGTACGCCCTGTATTCTATTCTATTCTATCCCACATCTTTTTTTTTTTTTTTTTTTTTTTTTTTTTGTGGTATGCGGGCCTCTCACTGTTGTGGCCTCTCCGTTGCTGAGCACAGGCTCCGGACGCTCAGGCCCAGTGGCCATGGCTTACGGGCCCAGCCGCTCCATGGCATGTGGGATCCTCCCAGACCGAGGCACAAACCCAAGTCCCCTGCATCGGCAGGCGGACTCTCAACCACTGCGCCACCAGGGAAGCCCCCCACATCTTTAAACACTATTGATCACAACATTGTAAATGGCTTCCCCACCCCACGAATGGGTCACAGCTCAAGGTCTGAACGACACTGCGCGGGACCACAGGAACGTGACATGCAGACAGGGAGGCAGAGCACGCCGCACAGACCTGCAAACCTTAGAGGAGGCCTTCACATCCCTCTGCTCTTCCATCCTCTGTCCTGGCTTCTCCTGAACCGGCCAGTGAATTCAGGCTGGACACCTGCCCCAGCATGGCCCCCTCGCACACTCCTGCCTTTCCCAACCCTCTCTGCAGCCCACCTCCTCACCCCCATCAGACTGACCTACTTCTGCCTCGCTCCCCACGACTCCTGAGAGCACGTCCATGTGGGAGAGGAGGGGGGAGGTGCCCTCTGCTGGGGATGGGGCATGCCCTTTCAAGCTCCCCCTAATTCCACAGGACCAGTTCCTGTGGTCTAACCTTTTAATTCCCCTTACTTCCCCCCACCACTCCCAACTCAAAGTCATCCCCAGAGCCACGAAGAAAGACCTAATACGGTTTGTACCTCCCTCCTCATGCACAACCAATCTCTCTCTCTCTCTCTCTCTCTCCCCTAACACAAGGAACTGATGGATGAGATCATGCACCTCTCTGAGCTCAGTTCCCTCCATCTGAGTATGAAGATAATACCTTACCTGTGTCTTCACAGATGATCTCCAGAGGCCCCTTCAGACTCGAGGTGCGATGACAGTACTACTCCCCCTGCCAGTGGGACAAGTCACACCAGCCACACACACCAAGCCGGGGCCGGGAGCTTGCAGTCACCAGGCTCCAAGAGGCAGCTGGGACAGAGCATCCCTCTGATGTCTCCTCCCAAGCATCCTCTCAGCTAGGGTTGCCCAGGGCTGTTAGCAAAGCTGGGTTTTAATTTTTAGAAACAGGGTGCACAGCTTCTGGAAGTGTCCTTGTTTACGTGTTCTATCTCTTCCGCTACAAAATGACAAACTTAGTGGCTTAAAACAGCACAGATGTATTATCTTACAGTTCAGGAGGCCAAGAACCAGACATGGGTCTCACTGGTTTAAAATCTAGGTGTCAGCAGGGCTGCCTTCCTTTCTGGAGCCTCTAGAGGAGAAACCATTTCCTCACCTTTTCCACCTTCTACAGGCTACCCACGTTCCTTGGCTTGTGGCCTCTTCCTCTTTCAAAGACAGGAATGATGGGTTGAGTCCTTACTTCACAAAGACAATGACCTTCTCCTGTAGTCACACCTCCCTCTAACTGAGATCGTCTCCTGCTGGCCTCTTCCATTTTTAAAGGACTCAATTAGATTCATTAGATTACATTAGATTAGGCTAGATTAGATTAGGCACAGCCAATAATCCAGGATAACCCTCCTATTTCAAGGTTGTCAACTAATCACATCTTCAAAGTCTCTTTTGCCATGTAAAGCAACATATTCACAGGTTCCAGGCCTTGGGACGTGGACCTCTCTGGGGGCCATTATTCTGCCTACCAAGAGCCCTTTGGACCACATAACCTACTTACCCTCATTTTCCAAATGAGCGGACCCAAACAGGGAGGGAAGAGACTTGCCTAGCATCACACAGTGAGTTAGCAGCGGTGCCCAAACTACACTCCCAGGCCCCCAGGCTCACAATTCCATCTGCAGGCCCGCTTCAGGCAAGAAGGACTGAGTGTGATCATTTTTCCAAACTTTGCCAGGGCATGGAAGTCTTTCCCCTGAGAGAAGCTCACTCCTCATTACGTCAGGCTGGAAAGTGGCCCTCTGGTGCCTAGACTATAGGATGTAGAAGAACAGAAAATGTCTTCAGACGGCTCGCATCAGGGCTAGAGTCCAAATTAAATGTCTATTCAGTGAGTTCGGAGTCTGTTGGACGCTTCTGCCTCGTTCCAGTTTAAGTTTCATACAATTTTTTAAATCTGTAACTTAAATTGCTATTTGAACTGCTTCATTAGATTCCTGGCTTCCTTTGAAACAAAACAAACAAACACACAAAAACTTCAGATCAATTTGGGGTGGAGTGAAGACTGTCCTAACAGGTTTGGGTTGCTTCAGGCTTCTGTATGTGCCCCTTCTGATTTGGGGATTCTGGCTTCGCTCATCTGGGAGCAGGTCTACAAACTGAACCTGTTTAAAGAAAACAAGACAGGAAATTCGAGAGAATAAATCAATAGACAGTTACTGATTATAATTAACCGGTTGTTGAGCAAAGACATAGTTGGAAGCCTAAGTTCTTGGGAGTGGTGGTATTTTTTAGTATCATTATTTCAAACAAGTAGCCTTGTGTGCAATCATTCCTTTAATGGGGAAATGATTTCTTTACTGGAGAGGTTTGGCAGACAGAGAAGACCTGGGAATTGTCACGTTTTCAAGAGTCACCCAAATGATGACATGATGGCCGCGAGTTTGGACTGATCACAAGCCCAACAAAGCGTGAATCATCAGTGACCTCAAAGTGTCACGTCAACCAATCAATTGATCGATCAACCAACTAACGGCACATGATCTCAGAATCGATGGAGTCCGCTGCAGTTAGGCGAAAGGAATAAGCATTTCTGTGAGTAGCCTTGCCAGGGACTGAGCCAGCTGCTGCTTAAATGCTGTTTTTTCCTGTTGTTTTGGGTGGAGAGAGGTCAGGGTTATCTTCCTCTCTCCAGCTGGGAGCTATTTTCGTAACAGTCTCAACCAGGAGCACACCTAGTGACCAAGGGTCCACAGAGGGTCTCTGGCTAGGTTCGTGGTGAGCTGGGAGGGAGGAAGGTAGGGCAGGCCCCGCCCACAGGTGTGATCTTCGTGGTAACGGTTCCCTCAGGTGAAGCTCAGCTCAGCCAGCCTGAGCCTGAGACGCAAGGAAGAACCTGGGACCTCCTCCTCCACAAGCTCAGAGATTTCAATTCGATTCTGAGACCTAAACTTGGCGCAGAGGCAAGAGGCCTCCAGAAAGCGCCTCCAGAAAGCTCCCCCGTGGGCTTCCCTGGTGGCGCAGTGGTTGAGAGTCCGCCTGCCGATGCAGGGGACGCGGGTCCGGGAGGATCCCACATGCCGCGGAGCGGCTGGGCCCGTGGGCCGTGGCCGCTGGGCCTGCGCGTCCGGAGCCTGTGCTCCGCAACGGGAGGGGTCACAGCGGTGAGAGGCCCGCGTACCGCAAAAAAACAAAAACAGAAAGCTCCCCCGTTACAGACATGCAAAGAATTTACTTCTCCGGGGGTGTGGGCTGCCAGACCTGGTCCACCCACAGCCAGGGCAGACCCCGCGCTGCATAGAACAAGCTTCTTGGCATAGCTGGGAGGGGAGCAGGGCAACGCAGGAAGGGGAAACACGTGACGAACACGGGTTCTCCATTTATCTATGGTCTACTGTGTGCCGGGCACTTGCCCTCAAGGAATTTATCGTCTGAGCAGGGGAAACTGACAAGTAAACAGATGACCCTGAGAGGCGGATCTGAATTTTGCAGCGGAAGGAGAGCGATAGAGCAGCATATGCAAAGCCGGGGGGTCGGGTGGGACGGGGGAGTGCTGGAGGAGAGGCACAGTCCTGGGACTGCACGAAAGTCCAGGGGAGCCAAGCAAAGAAAGGAAAGGGGAAAGTGTCCAAAATGACCACAGAGAGGCAGGCAGGTGCCAAAGGATGAAGGGCCAGGGCAGCAGGTTGAGGGCTGTATCATGGCTGAAGTCTTGCAAGCTCCTTCCTCTGCTCTCCAAGGGTCTAGGACCGTATTTCCCAAGCCAAGGGTTGATGCATCTACCTAATTGCTTTGAGATTCCTAGCAGGTAGAATCATTTTGCGCATGCATCTGTGCATTCCTAAGGCTCATAGGCTGAGTGTGTTTGGGGCCACAAGGTCCCTGGGGACCATGAAACAGGTCAGTGGGAACGAGCCCAGCCTGAGGATGGGTGGAAAGGGGAGGGTGTCTTACTAATTCGATTTAACAGTCAATGAAACCTACGCCTACTGGGTTTGCAAGAATAAAGCAATAGTTGGCAAAAGCTTTGGACAGAGTCAAAAGATTGAATTTCTAACCTGTTTCTGCTGTAAAGTAACCATATAACTTTGGAAAATGTATTTCACTTCTCTGGGCCTCAGTTTCCCCCTCTATAAGAGGGGAGGGGTGGGACATGGACAAATAATCCCTTTGGTGCATCCCAACTCTGATGGTCTATGAGTCTAAATTGAGAATGGGTGTCAGGTATCGAAGCAAATATTCCGTTTACTGCTCGGAGCCTCTGTTTCCCATCTGTATAACGGAGATAATGATACCTAGGTGTCAGGGTAATTATGAGGATTAAATGAGCCGAGGTGTGTACTTTCTATCTTTTCTTCTTTCCTTTTTTCTTCCTGTAAAACATTGATTCTAAATCTTGCTTGGATTAAAAATAAGGTGAAAACTATGAACTCTCTCCCCAGAAAAAAAAAATGCACGTGTCCCCATAGATGTACATAAAATTTTGCATACAATTTTAGGAGGGTTATGGACCCCAGAAGCCCATCTGTGATCCCCTAGGAATGCACCCCTGGTCTAGGAAGTGCTAAACATT